AAAACTCTCTTCACAACTTAAAAAAACCCCACAAATTTAATGTTTCCCTCCTCCCTATTCCAGGCACCTGCTCCCTTCATTATGGCTGAAGAACAGCATCTCCTAGAATTTCTCAGGGGTCAGCCCTTTTCTTTCTTCACCTTTCCATCACTACTTACTTATTCATGCCATTGTTACAGTTACCTCATCTGATAATCAAATTAAAATGATAAATACTAATAAATATTTCAGTGAATATTTGAAAAATCAGGGAGTTTCATTACCTTAATAAATGGAGGACAGGGCTCCATGAATGATTTTTATATACTGTCTCAGGTTGTGGGGTATATGACGTATATCTGGCTTTCCTCCCAAAGCTTCATGCTCTCATAGGTGGGGCTTTTGGAAGTGATTGGATCATGAGTGTGTGTGGCACTGGGTTATGGGTGTGTGATGCTAGGTTAGACTGGTGACTGGTTTAGCATAGTTCTTTGTGTGGATGATGGACTTCCTGAAGAGGGAAGATGTATTCTGGGTGTGGGTTGAACCAAGCAATAGACTTGCAGACTACATGTAATAAAAAGGAATAGAAGAAGGAAGGCTGTGCTGCTTCCTGCTTGCCATGCCATGAACTGTTTCTCCTCTAACACTCCCTTCTGCCATGCGCCCCACAGCCTCGTAGACAGCTGACTATGAACTGAAAGCTCTAAAAACCATGAGCTAAAATGAACCTTTCCTCCTTTAACTTGCGAGTGTTGAGTATTTTGTCCTAGCAAGAAGAGAGCAACTAAGACTCGTGGTATGTGGAAATTATTTGAAGTGAGTGACCTCTTTTGTCAGTAAATAAAAATATATGAGCTTCATTTATTAGTAGCTAAATTTGAACACATTAAACGAGCCTGATATCATGACAATAAGTTCCTGCAATGAAGACGGTAAACCTTTCATTCCAAATGACAAAAAACTTGAGATGAGACTCAGAGATTTCAAGCATTGTTATTATATACCATCTTCTGCTTCTCAAATACCAAAGAAACTATGGACTTATATCAAAGATTAATGCAGGAGGATTTATTCTTATGATAGAAATGAGAGCTAAGAGAATTTTGTTATTTTTGCTCCTTGATATTTGAAAATTATTTAAGAAGCAATCCTCTCATTTTGTATAACATAGATGAACTTGGAGGACAGTATGCTAAGTGAAATAAGCCAGGCAAATAAAAACAAATATCAAGTATTCTCACGCATATGAAGAAACTGCAAAAACTTTAGAAATAGAGACAGGGCAGAAGTAGAATGTGGGGTAGGGTTTTGGGAACATATTTAAGTAACACAGAATTTCAATTTGGAAAAAGGAATCAATCCAAGAAATCTCCTGTACAATGTGGTAACTATAATTAATAATAAATTACATACTTACAATTTCCAACAGTCATTTTAAATTTTTTATTAACATATAACAATTCTAAGCACTCATAGAATACAATTAAATAAACATAAGATATGTGTGATCATAAAATCAGGGTCATCTCTTTCAACATTTAATCATGTTTTTCTGTTGAGAATATTCAGACTCAAAACTGTAGATTTTAAGTGTTCTCATTACCCCTCTGAAAGGGGAACAAGTTAAATAGTAAGTATGTTAATAAGATTAGTTTATACTTTACACAATGTATACATATAATGAGTTTTTTTAATACACCAGAGGTATATATAGATAGTTTTTATTCACCAATTAAAAATTAGAATGGCCATTCTTTACAGTTAAATGCAAGGAAGCATTGTTAATGCAGTGCAAGTAATGACTTTATATTTTTATATTGGTAAAATATAGGAAATATTTAAAAATTCACATTTGTAATTTAAGGCTTTTGCTGTTATTTTATAGAGCCAATGGCAATTGTGCTTATTTATTATTCAATTGAGAATCCTAAACATTCTTAGCATTTTTATGTGTGCTTACAACAAATGGTATTTCAAATTGTCATAAATCACACATTGTAAATGAAAACTCTGGATGTACTAAAAGCTGGATTTAAAAGTCCTATTTCACCATATCATTCAGGGAAACAATCTATTTTTGAAAACACAGCCTTTAGCTAGTCACCGTGTAATCAGTAAACCACAAGATGGCACCACTAAACAATTAGTTTATCTCAAAATGACAGGTTCTCTAGGTAGCTATTCAAGAATAGCGTTATTCCTCTTCAAAACCAGCGAGAAACATGAAAATAGGAGAGAGACTAGTAGAGAAGAGAAAAAGAATAAGGTGGGAGGGGAGGAAAAGTCATAGAGATACCATATATCCCTGATATCCCGATATGATGTGATAAAAGGGACATTTCATCCTTGTGGTATTCTCCCAAACTCACAACTTCAGTCTAATCACAAGAAAACATCAGCCAAAACCTAAATTGATGGACATTATGTAAAATACAGTCATGAGATACAGGAGAGATTGAGCAACTGTCACAGACTAAAGAAGCTAAGGCGAAATGACAGAATGTGAGATCCCAATTTGGGCCATGAAAAAAAAGGACATTCGTTGACAAACTGATGTAATCAGGACGAAAATTAACTATAACTAATAGCTAATATGTTTCAAACTATAATTCAGTTAATAAGTTATATTTCTTAGTTTTGGCAATTATACCTTGGCCGGGCAATATATAGTATTAACATCAAAAGAAGCTGAATGAAGGAAATACAGAAAGACTCTGTACTATTTATGAAATTATTTTTAGGATTAAAATGATTTCAAAGTAAAAGTTTAAAAATGCAAGATACAAATGAATTTCTCTGAAATGCCTCCTTAGCAGCAATTTTTTTTTTTTTTTTTGGTACCAGGGATCGAACTCGGGTCCTTGTGCTTGCGAGGCAGGCCACCGAACTGCTGAGCTAAATCCCCGGCCCCCACCCTTCTATAGAATTTTATACAATGTTTTAACTCTTTATATGTGCCAAGACAGAGTTTTATTTCACTGCAGCCACAGTAAGTATATTTTTGAAAAAGCATATTAGGATGCACTGTCAGTATAATTGTATGCAATTTTCAAATGAGAATCAATCAGAGATAATCAGAGTGGGAATAATTTTTTGAATTCAATGGCCATGGGTATCACCTTTTAGTGATTGATATTCAGTTATCTCACTAATGTGTATTGCAATTATGACTGATGCAAATTTCTTTTCTTTTCTTTTCTTTTTGGTTTTTTGAGCCAAGGTCTCACTATGTAGTTGAGACTGACCTGCTACTCACTATGTAGCACAGGCTAGTTCTGAACTCACAGAGGTCCTCCCGCCTCAGCCTCCTGAGTGCTGGGATTATAGACATGCATCACCATGCCCAGCTGATGCAAATTTCTGACATTAAAATGTTCTTATTTTACTATCAGTCTAACCAGATATGGTATGGCTAATATCTTTGATAACATGACAAATTTCTATTGCACACAATATTAGTTTTAGAAACAAGAAGGGAACATTGTAATCCTTTGAAGGGGTGAAAAATCTATTTCCAACATGTTATATTTGTACATATAGATATGGGGAGCATTTCCCTAAGAAGTACTTGTATGAATATTTAGAAAAGCAATGCTTTTGAAGTTTGAATAAGGACTAAATAAAAAATATTAATATATACTTGCTCCTGGGGCCAAGGATTTAGCTCAGTAGTTCGGTGGCCTGCCTTGTGAGCGCAAGGACCTGAGTTCAATCCCCGGTAC